TACAAGAATACAACATAACAATTAAGCATATCAAAGGCAAAGACAATGTTATTGCAGATGCCTTGTCCAGAGTATCATGAACAAATTAGATTTTGTATTAATGTACATGTTTTACAATGTAAGTTTTCATTGACATTCAAACTTTTTAAGGGGGGAGGTGTTGTGAGGTGTGTTGTATTTGTATTATTTCATCATGTATATTATTAGTAACATTAAGTTTCTTGAACATTCCAGAGTGGTCAATATGTTTAGTCATTTTTTCTAGAACATTCTTGAACTTTATTCATGTCCAGAACTTTTCAGGAATATCATGTATTTACAATTTCTAGAATATTCTAGATTTATGATACTGTATAAATACCCTGTCAATTCGATGCATAAATAATTGTGGATACATTGTCGTATAAGCATCATTGAGGTATTACTGGGATATAATTTCACTGGGACATTGTGTGCAGCAACGGACACTCTGATGTATGTATTTTTAGATTTTTGCTAAGTTTGTACTTAATGATTTGTATATTACTGTAAATAAATTATTGTTAAGTTTAAACTGTGTGATTGATCTTTGCTGGCATTTAGGGTTATTCTGACCCATAACAAGGGATAGATTCCATCAAATATGGAGGTATTTACATATCCAAAACAATGATGAACAACCACAGATTCCAGACAAACTTTGGAAAGTTCGATGGTTCTTGGAATTCTTGGACAGGAAATTTGGTGAAATTTACATTCCACATGGAAATGTAACCATTGATGAATCAATGATAAAGTTCAAAGGAAGATTATCCTTTCGCCAGTACCTACCTGCTAAACCTATAAAATGGGGACTGAAAGTTTGGGCAATGGCGGAAAGCGACACTGGTTATTTGAGCAAGTTCCAGGTGTATACGGGTAAGGAGGGAAATCAGGAAAAGGGACTGTCATACAGAGTGGTGATGGACTTGTGCAGAAATTACTTCGGATCAAACTTGAATGTATATATGGATAATTTCTACACCGGCACCGACCTACTGAATGACCTTTACCTCCGAGGGATCATGGGATGTGGGACTGTGCGTGCAAACCGTAAGGGACTTCCAAAGGATCTAATCCCATCTAAAGTCAACTTGAGGAAGCATGAGTTCAAAGTAGCTCAAAAAGACAACCTGACGTACTGCATTTGGTTGGACACGAAACCCGTAAGTGTCTTGTCAAACTTTCACGACCCTAGCCATCGAGGACAAGTGACACGACGTGCTGCCGAGAACACCGTGGTGCAGGTTCCAAAACTTCTCTTGGACACTACCAGAAACACATGAAGGGGGTGGATTTATGTGATCAGATGATAGGGTACTATCTCTTGAGTCACAGATCAAAGAAGTGGTGGCGGAGGCTGTTTTTCTATCTGATGATGGCATCGGCTCACAATTCCTACATAGTAGCGAAGGACACCCACCCAGAAATTGCTCGTGAGAGATGGCCAAGTTTTCAAGACTATATAGAAGACCTAGTGGAAGATCTAATAGGTGATGTGAGATCTAGAAGAGAACCACAAAAACTTGACTGTGGAGGACGCGCTACCGAGCATAACATTGTGAAAATGTTCCCCAAAAACAAAGTGTGCCGGGAATGTTCCCTGTCAGGACCACAAGGACAAAGGAAAGGTGTTACGAAATTTGGATGCCAACAATGTGATGTCCCAGTACACTTAGAGTGCAGCTCTAAGCACATCATGCGAATGATGAAAGTGTAAACATTAGTAAGTGTGACTTCTTTTTTTGAGTTGAGAATTAAAATTGAGGATTTCTTTTTGCAATATTTTATTACATATTATTTTGAAGTAAGTAAATTTTTTTTTTATTTTTGTTTTGATATAATGTTTGTAATACATTATTTTACTTAAAACTTTGTTTAAAATGTAGCAAAATGCATGTTGTATATTTTTAAAATAATTTTTAAAGAAATTCCATTCTTGATTCAAATGTCGAAAATTCTGAGATAATACCCTATGTATTGAAATATCAATAACTTTTTTATTTTTATAGATTTTTTAACGAAATAAACTGTAAATTGTTCAGAAATGTTTGATGTAACTACTGATGCAAAAAAAACAATACTGCTTACTTTCACTTTATGCACATAAAATCCAGTTGAATAAAAAGATGACAAAAATTTTCAAGTGCTTTTAAGAATTTATTATTATTTACATCAGATAAAACATGGGATAGCATTCTTGCTGCATATTGAAATTTATACTGCTGGATGCAGAATTTTAAGAGCTTTATAAATATGTATACTTTTATATACCTACAGAGATTAATTATCTTGTTATCAGGCAGAAAGTAAAGATGGTGCTAATTAACTTAGCCATCACAGCAGCAGGCGTGTTATCCCTCGTCTTACTGATAAGCTCTGCAGACTTGGCTGCAGTAGGAAATGGGTTAAAGAATTTTCCTATATATTCCTATGTAAAACTTTGGTCGGCCATTTTGGCCCCGCCCACCCCCGGGGGTCATGATTTGTACAAACTATGAATCTACACTACTTGAGCATGCTTCCATATAAATATGATGAATTATGGCTTTGTCATTCTTGAGAATAAGATTTTTAAAGAATTTTCCCATATATTTCTACCCTTACAGAAAAAACTAATAAAAACTTATAAGTGTTTTATAATCCACTTATAAGCAACTTATAAGTCACTTATAAATTTTGAAATTTACTAGGGATGGCAATCGATTGCAGAATTGCTAATCGGTTAACCGTAAAACGTTCCGACCGATTAATTGGTTAGTCGTATCAACATATACATTTTGATATTTAAATTCTTTTCCTATACACAAAAAGACTAATAAGACGTTAGAAGTTACATTCTGTTTATTATATATTTTGATCGGGGAATTTTATGTACATAAGAGCATATTTTATTTCAATTTCAATAGAGAAGAAAAAAAAAGAAAACCACGAATCTTATTGAGAAATCAGACAGGGATAATTTTTCAAGAGATGAAAAGAAGTTAATTTTCGTTGTCACCAACTCAAATATTATGTCCGAACTCTCAAATAATAGCAAATTCATCTTCCAGGTTTCACCACAACACTGATTATAAATTTACTTCCTAAATTATCCTTTTTAAAAAAAAGAAGCATGTATCCCTAAATTTTCTTTTTTTAAACAATTTTAAGTCTCATATTTGCATAAGTATCGCCTTCTAGAGGGGGGGGGGGGGGAACAAAATTACTCCAATGGCTTGAAAGAGGTTAATTTTTTTTTTTTTTTCATTTTATTTAGTAAATTATTTTTTTTGACACTAATAAGGATGTTTCCTAGATTATTCTTTCTTTTTTACAACAACGTACGATTTTTAGATTTAAAAATTTTGACCAGCTACATGTAATTCGTTAATTCATTGCTTTCTACAAGGGGATCGGGATAATGTAAAAACCTTATAATATTTTATTTTTTTGCAAACTTTTTTTTTCATTTTTCATGAGATGTATTTCAGAATGAAGTAATATTCATACTGCAGTTTGCACATTCTATTTGCAAGAAATTCAGCTGGCGATTTTTGTATATGCAGCGTGGAACTTTTATCACAGTTTTATTAGAAAGATTGTCATCTCTGTCAGTTCAGTAGAAATATACATGTTTACCGCATGTAATATTTTAATCCATATTTTACATGATTACAGATTTTCAGTGTAAGTATAACTGCACCAATGATTCGCCAATAGTAAAAATCTTAACGGAATTAATGTGAGAGTCTAATACGGTTCTTTTTTAAATTTTTACTCTAGACAGAATTTTTACTCTAGACAGTTAATATATGTTTTATAATTCTTACAAAATAATTCATTAGTAAAATCACGCATCTGATATGTATTAAATACTTACGACAAAAACGATCTTTTATCCGATAAGATTTAATAATTTAAATGAGCAAAATTAAAATCAAAAGTAGAGACAACCAGGGAATAAATTAATGAAAGCGTGTTCTTTCTTAGTGGTATTATAGTCTATTGAACCTATTTTTATGTCAAATATAATTATAGGATTATGAAACATGTATGTACATGTACACATTAAAAGAGGGTTTTTTCCTTGGGCACGAGCACGATTATATTGAATTTCGGGGCACCTTATAATTTTATTTTAAATATCTGTATAATTAAATTACAATTGTTGAAATAAACTAGTAATATTTCAAAAGAAAATTGATTTAATTTGCTAATATAAAGAAAATTAAAGACTTCAAAGACGCCGACATCGTTCGAGGTCCACACTGCCCCGTACATGTTTTGCGGGAAAAACTCCTGGCCTGTACTGTACGTTTGACCACAAACACAACCAGTTGATCTAATTTATAGCAAATAAGAAAATCGTCTCACACTCTGTCTAGTTGTTATAAAGTTGTATTTTGCTTCGAGTAGTTTCCTTATTTTCACAGTTGAAGGCCCAGACGCATATGCATGATACTTGATAATGGTGTTTCGAACAGGCAGACAAAACCTCCGTCCTCCTTTCACAGGCGCCGTAGCGAGAAATAAACCAGAATGACTTATTTGGTCATAACATGATTCAAAAATGGTTTGCATAATTAACCAAAGAACGGTACGGTTTGTTTCTTGCACGGAACGGTACGCTTTGTGGGACGGTACGGTACGCTTTGAGAACGGAACGGTTCGCTTTGAGAACGGTACGGTACGCTTTGTGCACGGAACAGTACGCTTTGTTCACGGTACGGTACGCTTTCTACACGGAACGGTTCGCTTTGTGCACGGAACGGTACGTTTTGTTCACGGTACGGTACGCTTTCTGCACGGAACGGTACGGTTCGTTTTCAGGTGTAGTAGCACGGTTTAGGGTCTGTAATATCTTAAGAACATGTATCCTAATAATCTAAGATTAATATGTTTTTGAACAGTACCAACCAAAATTGGCCCTCTATCAATAATTTTGAATTTTGATTGGTTGAAATCCCATGCTTCCCCCTGTCTCAAAAACAGGACCTCACCAATGATAGCTATTTCCACCATGAACCACAGCACAAAGCGTGGAACCCTGGGATAGCTTCTGTAGCAGACCTCAGCCAGGTGCATTCCTGTCACCACCCCCAGGCGCGCCGACAGCCTCTGCATCAGGAGACCCAGAAACGTGGCCGACATCAGTATCCATAGCAACTACAAACAGATGTCAGTATCCATAGCAACTATAAAAAAAATAAACAGACGTCAGTATCCATAGCAACTATAAAAAAATAAACAGACATCAGTATCCATAGCAACTATAACATAAATAAACAGACATCAGAATCCATAGCAACTGTAACATATACAAACAGAAGTCAGTATCCATAGCAACTATAACATTAATACATAGAGGTCAGTATCCATAGCAACTATAACATAAATAAACAGACATCAATATCAATAGCAACTGTAACATGAATAAACAGATGTCAGTATCCATAGCAACTATAAAAAAATAAACAGACTTCAGTATCCATAGCAACTACAACATAAATACACAGACTTCAGTATCCATAGCAACTATAACATGAATACACAGATGTCAGTATCCATAGCAACTATAACATATTACATAGACATCAGTATCCATAGCAACTGTTATGATATATGCTAGCATTAGTATCCAAAGCAACTATAACAAAATAGGCTTTAATCACTATCCATGGTAACTATGACAAAATAAGTCAATGTCTCCATAGCAACTAAAACAGATATGCTGACATTGGTACAGTCTGTATCCATAGTAAATATAAGTTTTTTTTTAAATTCACCCTTCGCTTTATTATAATATTTTATTAACTTCCCTGTAGCTTCATTGTCAAGTCGCTTTAGCCCAAGTTTCTTAATGCAAGTTTACACTAACTAAAATGCTTTCAAATCAATTTCATATTTGGATGAGTAAAAAGAAACAGCAAATGTTAATATCATTGGTTATAAGCCAATCTTAAAATGTCATATATTTCAAAAATAAATTGTCATATTTTTTAATCTAATTGATTCACTAATTACTCTAAAGCTCGTTAATACTAATGAGATACTGACCTTGAACTGAGCGACAGATCCGGACCGGAGATCCGACTCGATATTTCCCGGATCCAGATAGGCAATACTCATAAGGAACCCTGGACCAGTGAAGGCCCAGAGTTTTCTAAAGCTGAAAACTGGATGCTGAAAATCAGAGAAAAGATGAACAGCATTAAATATTTCAGAGTTGATAATCCAATCTGAGCAATGCATATTTCATCTCTTAATCTTTTATTTGAAAGAACATTTTCCTCAATGAGTCATTAAAGTTAAAGAAAAGGTGGGAAAATATTATTTTGGTGGGGGAGTAGGGGTGGAAGATGGGGGGAGGAAGGATGAATATTTCCAAAAGTAAAAAGATGTGTATGAGAAAAAAAAAAAACGCAGCAAAACAAGTCAAATAGGTTAATATTGTTTACATTTTGTTTCTGGACTACATTCTGTATACTGATTGAGTGAGCCTTACCTCTTCATCCTCGGGTATGGGGATTTTGTTGTTGAAGTGATTGAATGAGTCTTACCTCTACATCCTCCGGTATGGGGATTTTGTTGTTGAAGTGATTGAGTGAGTCTTACCTCTTCATCCTTTGGTATGGGGATTTTGTTGTTGAAGTGATTGAGTGAGCCTTACCTCTTCATCCTCCGGTATGGGGATTTTGTTGTTGAAGTGATTGAGTGAGCCTTACCTCTACATCCTCTGGTATGGGAATTTTGTTGTTGAAGTGATTGAGTGAGCCTTACCTCTTCATCCTCCGGTATGGGGATTTTGTTGTTGAAGTGATTGAGTGAGTCTTACCTCTACATCCTCTGGTATGGGGATTTTGTTGTTGAAGTGATTGAGTGAGCCTTACCTCTACATCCTCCGGTATGGGGATTTTGTTGTTGAAGTGATTAGTGAGCCTTACCTCTACATCCTCTGGTATGGGAATTTTGTTGTTGAAGTGATTGAGTGAGCCTTACCTCTTCATCCTCCGGTATGGGGATTTTGTTGTTGAAGTGATTGAGTGAGTCTTACCTCTACATCCTCTGGTATGGGGATTTTGTTGTTGAAGTGATTGAGTGAGCCTTACCTCTACATCCTCTGGTATGGGGATTTTGTTGTTGAAGTGATTGAGTGAGCCTTACCTCTTCATCCTTTGGTATAGGGATTTTGTTGTTGAAGTGATTGAGTGAGCCTTACCTCTTCATCCTCCGGTATGGGGATTTTGTTGTTGAAGTGATTGAGTGAGTCTTACCTCTACATCCTCTGGTATGGGGATTTTGTTGTTGAAGTGATTAAGTGAGCCTTACCTCTACATCCTCTGGTATGGGGATTTTGTTGTTGAAGTGATTGAGTGAGTCTTACCTCTTCATCCTCTGGTATGGGGATTTTGTTGTTGAAGTAACTAGAGGCTATACTCGTACTGCTGGCACTGCTGGGTTTTATTGGCAGGGCCTCTGACCCCTCAACTTCACCGGGCCTGACCTCTGACCCCTCAACTTCACCAGGCCTGACCTCTGACCCCTCAACCTCACTAGACCTGACTTCTGACCACTCAACTTTTCTGGGCCTGAAATCCCCCTCTTCCTTACTTGTCCTTTCCATTTCTCTTGCCTCTTCATTCATGAATTTCTTTTTATCTCTGACAAATATATTAAATGTGTATATAATATATGAAGCCTCGACGATACAAATCGACCTTATCGTATGCAACGTCATAATGAGAAAAAAGCGAATAAAGTTGAGAAAGATTTCCCGGTATTTTTGCAACACATGGTTTTCACGTTAAAGAATGTTTTAGACATAATCATCTGCAGTTCAAAGATTTTTTCTTTAAAAAATCGGATCATTTTAAACATGTACTAATAAAATAAACAAATTTTAAATGTATTCCCCCTCGTAGAGCCGTATTTTTTATTGTTACCATGGTTCAATGTAAACACAGGCCAGAGGAATGCCGAGTCCGATCTACACTTATTTTTTTTTTCAAACAGCAGAAGACGTAAGGCCATATCTTACAATACACCAGATAAAGAATAAAATGGTAGACATATAGCAAAGAAAAAATGGCATGTTGCATTACTTAGGAAGTACAGAATATATTTTTTTGTAGTTTAGAGTATAAATTTTAGCCAGAGGAGACGTAATCTGGCACAAAAAATCGCACTTGTACTGATGCAGTAAATAGCCGAGTGTGTGAATTTATCGTGTGGACGTGTATTCAATCATTCACGATTAAATTCGCAATTTCATATTAGATATACTATAATGTTTCATGTTTTTGAATGAATTTACGTGTAATTTCAAATTTATCACAGGAATTTACCAACCAACCAAAAACAATAGGCTAATGAAAGGCATATCGATCAATACAAAATGTACATAGGCCACGATTGAACAACTTTTAAAACGCATTTTACTAACTATAATATTAAGAGATATCAAGAAACAAGTAATACTGGTAATGTGTAAGGCAATTTCTTTTTATATCAGTAATTCTCAAACAGAAAAACGTAATTCTGAAGCGACTGGAATGTGCCAGTAGCTTCCCTTTGACACAAAAAGAGGCTCAACACGGGGAATCATTTCCTTAAAAAATATGTTTTTCTCTCCGTTACCTTTTCTTAAATATTTTGAAAGTTTAAAAAAAAATACCGACGATGGATTATCTTTGATTTTTAAATTTCTTTAACTTGGCTGGCGAAAATGTAAAAAGATTGGCCCAGTTTGTAAAACATATCCTTCTATGTCAATAATATTATAAAGAGTTGTAAACCAAAAAAAAAAATACCCTAAAGTCGGATGTACATAGTTTTGTGAGAGATGTTCTTATATATTCAGCATAATGTTAAGTATTTTGAACCTCGTTAATACCAAACTTTTCAAAAATCATCTTGAGCAGGATTTCCCTTGTTCATGAATATCAAGAATATGGTTTCGTTTTGTAATAAGACTTTCAATTATAACACCAAAAAGATCTATACATTATAAAATTCTTCTTTTAAAGAGAGAATGGATATACCCACAACAGACAACTTTATTATAAATCTCCTTTTTTATTTGATTTTTTTAAATTCAAAAAATCATTAAACAAATAATTATGAAATGTCTATAATTTTATATGTGTTGTGTTGGAATGTGTTAGAAACAGGATTTTTTTTTTTGGGGGGGGGGGGCTTCTTTAGTCAGCATATCGTCGCTGTAATATCAAAATGTCGTAAGTCGATTTTTGGCGCGAATTTTTTATTGCTAATTTGGAATCTGCAATATCGAATACATGTTCTGTCAAAACGTCATGTCTCTAGGCCAATTAGAAAGTGAGATACAGACGTGTGATAAAAGCGCGTATGTCCATTGGATGCATTTTTTTTTCTGACAAAAGGTCGTATGTCTCTGGGCACTGACAAGGATGTCACTGGCCGTCTGATATCAAGGTAAAAATTATAATTTTAGTTAAATCTTTTAAAATTTTTACTAAAAAATGTGTTCAACATACAAAACAAAGTATATTTATTTAATAAACAGAGAAATCAATGGAAAGATTGATGAAAAGTTAGAAGTAAGTTACTTCATGACAAACTGAATTCTGTTTTCGAAGTTTGTAACTGCAATCAATTTATGAGTATGTTAATTCATATAAAACATTTCAGAGCGTTCTAATATCAGATTCGTACGCTTACAATACATTGCAGGGGTTTGTTTCAATGCTTTTCTGGAGATACGACAATTTGTACAGAAAAAACATCCAGGACAGAAAGGAAAACACTAGACATACGACATTTTGAAAAAAGATGTTTTTTTCTCTCCTGAAAAGTTGGGATTTTTGACTTACGACAATTTGATATTACAGCGACGATATATGTATTTAAATCAAGCTACTTTGCTGGCTAAATATAATTTATTTTTATTTATTTTAGAATCCTAAGCACCCAAGCTGAATCCGACTATCTAATTTATAGCATTATTTATTCATTTTTTAATTGGTTTAACTGCATTTCCTAATAAAATAATTATCAAGACATTCTCAGTACAGTCTAAACGTAATCAATGCTGTTTACATGTAGTTCGTTTGCAGTAAAAGAAAGAAAATGTTCCACGTGTTTTTATATTGTAATTAAACAAGCCTTTGTTTTTCTTTTTCTTTCCCTCAATGCATTTCTAATACTCCAGGTAACAAAGAATTTATATTTTTTGCATTTCTGAAATTCATATTGATATCCCTTCATTTTTTCTGTTGATAAAAGTATTTTGTATACGTTATGTAAATTCTCATTTTCAAATGCATTAGAATGTTGCGTTACAAATAAACTATACTATCATCGTCGGAAGTTGCTGCGGTGGTGCAGTGGTTAGAGCGTCTACTCTAGAGTCGCGAAGTAAGGAGTCAATCCTTACATCATCGTCGCAAACCATGGCCAAAATGTACGATCTTCTCCTTTTCTGTAGGAGAGAGCTTTATGCGGACTCCAGACCGTGGCTTGAGACGATGTCCTTACATCGCGTGTTCGAATCCCACTGTGGGACGTGGAGATCGGTCCTTCGGATATGAGACCGGCTGTATACAAACCGAGGTCCTGTGTCACAGTAGATGCTGGCTCGAAAAAGATTCCTCCCTGCTCAATGGCCCTAAGTGCCGAGTACAGGACAAATTGAAATTTGCAGCTCTCCACCGGTAAGTGGTGGCGTCTCCATATTAGTGAAAAATTCTCGAGAGGGACGTTAAACAAAATACAATCAATCATCGTCGGAAACCCTGAGAGTGATCTCGTCTTTACTTATCACCCGGTGATGAGTAAGAGCTAACAATCATCCTTGGGTATCCGATGATGATTAACTTTATGATAAAAGAAACAAAAAAAAAAAATAAATCTTCCGCAAATTGTCCACAAATAATGCATGCATATTTATTGAGCGACAATTTTGACGAATGCATGTGTATATATACAATTTTGTTTCCCGTGAGACTTTCCGCTACATGTAAATTTAAATCTTATTCTTCTAAAATAAAGGCCTGGTCCACATACGAAGTTAATTAATAATGTACTAGTGATGCATGATTATTATTTTATCTAACAATATTAGATTTAAAAGAACTTAAGATTATTTACATCAAATTGAATTTTAAAGTAAAATTTTGTACATTATGAGATATTTTGTTGATGAATACAGAGAGAAAATCTTTTTTAACGGATTACATATTCTTGAAATTATAATCCGTCGGATGAAACGTTAAATAGTTCCTTTTAAAAATATGTTAAGATTATCAACTACATGTATTTTGCATGCAACAGATAAAAAATTCCCGCCATAATGGCTGAAATCTTGCCGACTCGGCGCTTAGCAAAATTCAATCAATCAATAATTCGTACATGTAAATTGTTTAACATGATATTCTATTTACTTATTTATTTTTCTACATTATGGATAATAGACATTTGATGAAAAGACAATTTGTTTTTTACTAGGAGGGGGGTAATAGTTTAAAGACATAGTGGTTATTTTTTTGTCGATCTATCCGTCCAATTACAACCAAGCGAGAATGATGTGGAGGAAAAGAGGGTGTATATATATGAACTAGCTATTTGAAGGTGAATGTGGCTGCAGTAGAAAGGTTTTAGGAGGGAAAATCCTAATTAAATGAGCTTACTTTTAGACACAAGGCTAGTATCACACCATGTTTGATTTCACTATATATGTACTGATCGATGTGATTTTTATTATTTATTACATAAGAATAATTATAGAAGCATGATTTAAGTTATGATTTTATTGGCTGCATGGTTCATGTATTTTCTGTCAGAAACTAGCCTTTGGTATTTCTGAGATCGAATTCGAATTCCTGTAAATTTTGACTCGATTTCATTTGTTCCCTTTTTTCCTTTACATGGTGATTACGTAAAATCAAACAGTGTGTGTTAACTAAATTGCATGTTTTGAGAATACATGCTTCATCAAACATAAAAGCAGCATAGTGTAGATCTAAATTTTGTTTATTGGAAGTTCAGTTGTTCATATAGACGAAGCTACCGGTACGAAAGATAGAAAAGTAGAAATTTAATTTTTTTTGGGGGGGGGGGGGTGTTATTCGTTTTTTAAAGGATTTAAAATACAGTTCACACAGATTTAGGGATTGTACATCATGATCATCTGTTTTTGTCATATATTAAGCAATTTTTGATTAACTTAGACAAGATGACCAGTTGGATTGCTGCGTCCAACAGTGCCTTACCGAACAGCTGAGAATAAACCATGACGTCACAATTGTGGAAAAAACACTATATGCTCAAAATTAATTTTGCAAACATTACCAATTTCAAAATGTAATAACTTTGTTATAAAAGAAGATATTTTGATTTCGTTTTCAGTTTTTGTAGTGGTTTTACGTGGACTATTAAAAAACACGAAAATATCAAATTCGATAAATTTTGCCATAAGGTCGATTTCTATCCGTCGAGGCTCATATATATATGATCTTACATGGGGTTTGCAGTTGGTTGGGATTTGATTTTTATCCAACAAGTTGTGTGATTTTTATCTCCTAGCCTTGGCGACCTCGTTAATTTATATAATAAAGGGTTAAATCTATTGAACTTATATTGGTGAATATTGGCACAAGTTGGCTGTTCAAACGCACGAGCTAGCAAATAGATTAAAGTTCTAAAAATGTTTTCATGATGATATCTGTTCACCATGATGTTCATATGTGATAACTATTAAGTAAATAATGATGGTGATAAAATGTGATCAATTTTTAACAGTTACAACATATATCATATATATTTTTTATTTCAAAATTTACATATTTTTCCCTTTGTATCACACATATTTAATTCCCAAACATTTAATTTTCTCTGTAATTGATCACACTTGAAAGGTGAAATTTGAAAGTAAAATATCTCTCTTTTGCAAAAATAAAAAATCTAGCAAATATACGATCCCTTCAGACGTCTTTAATGTACCATTTCAGTGTATTGATATAATTGCCATACTTTCTTAAACTTTGCATGGACAATTTTTGTAGACCCATAAAAAATCCGAGTTTTTTGTGTATCTGCGCATGCGCGGACTCTTTTTTCGGAGTCTTTTTCAGTCTCAATTTCTTACTTCCGTTAACTTCGTTTTTGGAGTTTGTCTAGACTGATAACCGACTAGGTACACAATTCATGCCATGTTACAGTAGTATGAGTAAAGCATATGACTAACCCACATTCATATCACACCTTGTACTGCTGTACACACATTACGCACAGTTCTGGTTTGGTGTCATAGCTTTATTGCAAAGCTCTAATATTTGCCATGTTTTAGAGCACCATGTTAATGTATATATAAAAATATACACAGTAACACATATGTACACAGTCACCATTTTATTATGCATTGCATGGTCAGAGACTTGATCATGCAATTTGATATATAACCATAATAATAATTTTGATGTAGGAAATGAAGAGTATATAAGTATTTTTTTAACTTGATCTGTCTTCTGGACCTGGTTGGTGTACTCTATATAAAAGCTTCACAATACCTTTACATTTCAAGTTATTTCCTACATGTATCAGCAATGAACACAATCAAAACACTAACAGTGATTGGGTGAGTGACGAAACATTTTCATGATTTTGCTGAATGACAGTTACATGTACGCAATTTTGTGAATAACGATCCCGACTTTTAAAAGACTTCCTATTTTCGCTTGAACTTTGCACGCACTCGGAGTTCCTCGGATGGCTCGTACCTCGCACATAATAATGAATGGAGCGTAGCGGAGTTAGCCGAGGATTGCCGATTCCTTAGCACGCTAACCAGGATTGCCGATTGACTCGGCGGCAAGTGCGAGAGACATCCGAGTTGTCCTAGTGCAAAACCACGCAGCGTTGCATTGAAAGTCGTTGCATGAGCAAGATCGAGGAAAAGACAACGAAACCAGCAGCTAGGCCTTTTGATTTTGAAAAACGACATTTTTGTGGGAACTACACAGGCACAATACATGTATTAACAGCTGTAGTTGATAATGAAAGTAAGGTTTGTTCACGGTATTGGTAAACTCGCACGAACAAGGAAGTGGGTTTGTTTATTGGTCATTTCGGAAGATATCTAGTAAGATCTGATTCAATCTCTTGATTTAGCTATGCTGTAGAACTGTAGCTCTCCTAACAAAAATAATTTGATAGACCGGAGAGCGACAGTGCCACTAGATAGAACACAGGGGCTTGTCACGAAATATTTATCTTCTTTTAGTAGCCTACCCCTACTATAAAAATACACAAGGGAGGAATCTAAAGTATAGGTAAATTCGCTACCACAAATTTTGACCGGACTTTCTATCTTGTTTCTGGGCGACTTTCGTTGCGGACCAAATAGGAGTGAGTGGAGTATAGATTGGATTCAAGATTTTTCAGTCAAATTCTAATCAACGCGTACCGTTAGTCAGGCCAAACAAAAAAATACCTTTGTTTACTGTTACATGCTGAAATAAAATAGGGTCGGTAGGTAGGAATTTTTTTTTATTTTATTGAATTTTTTTATACACAAATTCACATGAATTGGTTCAATTACAAAACAGTTTTACCATTGTATGGTGCCTTTATACTTTCGTTTGGCTTCAAATATGGGTGGTTTCTTGCCAACTGTCTTAGGGGTGTGCAATTAAAAAAAATCAAGTACTAGCCCACAGGCTTACAGTAACAGCAATAAAGGTACTAGCCCAAAGTTAAAAGTGAGCAGTCCAAGGGGCAAAATATTGTAAAAACAAATATTGTAAAAAGTTCATTGTTGAGAAAGTCAGGGTCCTAAGTCATTCCTTTTAAGGTTGAAGTTTAAAAATTTTAAGAAATTAGATCACTCTTTTCTTTTCTTGCAACATATTGTACCAGCAGTGTAGCTTATTCAAAATGAAGCAAAATCATTTTATTTTCATTTCAAACCATTAAATACAATTGATATATATTAAAGTTTAACCACATAACACTTAGCTATTAGTCGATTGGGGGACCGTAAATAATGGAAAGAGATAGCTGCATGTATTTACTATTAACAGAGGAATGGGAGGAAATTCGGATTAAAAAACGATCGTTTTTTTGAAAGAAATAAGTCAGGTAGTACGTCAAAATGGTATAAGGGTTAAAAGCAATTTAATAATTGGGTATGTCTACTTTAAGGTTTCCACTAGTTGGAATTGAGACACAATGAAGGCAAATCCTTTGTATTTCTCATGTATTATATGCAATAGGTTCTATTTTTATGACCCCAAAAACGGTAGCACCGGGCATCTAGGCGGGTGGCCTGAGTCTGGCACCCCTGCAACTGCCTCGCAATGGTAAGCAAATTGCAACGAACTCGGTGGTGTAGAAATTGGGTTGAACTCCCGCTGGTTTTGTTTTTGTACTTTCAGTTTCAATTTCGATTTTAAAGATGAATGTAAAAGTTAAACTGACCGCGGCTAGTAACTTCCGGATTTTTACGACGAAAAAAAAGTTTGGGTCGGCGATGAAAATTAGGGTGGGTAACCGTAACAAACATATTTTTTTGTTACGCCTCATATAGTTAACCTCTTTCTCGATGTTTGGATCTGGCGACAGTTCTTTCCATATGAATTTCCAACGTAATTTCCGGCGTAAATTGGGTGGCACTGTAGCTCTCCAGTTTTTCAATACATTTTTTCAGAGAGCTACAGTTCTGCAGCTATTAAAGCTATATATAGCTTTATTAAGCTATTTAGA